AGCCAGGTAGATTTATCTGGTGAGAGCTAAAAGGTGAGTAAATATCATTAGTGGATTCAAAGAAATGATAATGTTGAACTGTGTTTGCCTGATGTGTAAATGTAAAGGTTCACCACGTCTTAGTGTTGCATTTATAGTTTGTTGTCAATCATCAGTTATATTTATTTTAAGAAATCTTCATAATTTTGTTTGTTATGAAGACATTAAATGTATTCACATAATATTCAATTTTATTTACCACATCTATCAGTACAGGCTGTAGACAGCGGCTGAATATAAAAGCTCTTTTATAGCAAAACCCTGTTTGCACTTCAAGAGAATAAAATATAACAGCAGAAAATCATGAAAAAGGAAATCAGTTCATAAAACACAGAACAAACAGAAAATCAAAGTGATCTTTCGTACCTGCTCAGCCATGTAGGAGCTCATATAGGCATTTGTCTTTCCTAGGCGGTGTTGTGTGGGGACAGAACTGGTTGACTGGCAATTGCAGCAGAGCTCATGCGTCCACTCTCGCGTTCAGGCTGTAGGCATGTGGCAGGTGCTGCTGGAAGAAGGTGTTCTCAACCACGGTGAGGCTCTGCGTGATGTATGTCTGCACGTGTGCAGTGCGCGATCCAGTGATTTGAAATTGAATGCCCGCTGTCTGTGTTTCTGTGATGCAGTGGACCAGGAGCTGAGCTTCCAGGACAAGTACCTTTTTTACCGCTTTCTGGAGGATGAACAGGAGGATGCCAGTTTCCCCACTGAAGACCAAAGAAGGGAGAGCCAAGAGGAGCTACAGGATACCTTGCTGCTTCTCTCGCAGATCGGGCCTGATGCCCATCTGAGGATGATCCTGAGGAAACCGTAAGAATCTGAAGCAGAAATCAGTAAAGGAATAAAAAGGGTGATTGTTTCATGACTTCTTTCATCTCTGTCTTTTAGTCCATCTGAAAGGACAGCAGATGATTTGGAGATCATTTATGAGGAGTTGCTTCATATTAAGGCCTTGTCACACCTCTCCACCACTGTGAGTACAGTTTACCTGCATTATGTGACCATATTATTCCTTCTCTTAATGCACAGATTGAAATTGCATCTTTCTCCTGGTGAAAAACATCATATCTGGCTCATTAGGCCTTTTGGTCCCATTTGAGTGGTGAGAGTGAAGAAAAATGATGCAAAGATGAAAACTTGCGTATTAAACACTCATTCACTGATCCTGTCCAAGAACACTTTGACATACACGCTGGATAAGCAAGGCATCGAATATGTACTGCATAGCTTCAGGGGATTATTCTACAACTAAAATCATCCGTTTGTCTTGCTGCTCGGATTCAGCCAAACCAAAAAACAAGATATGTGATGTGGGACTGCTGTGCGTTTCACTCACATTCAGTTTTAAAGAAATCTTTCAAACACCTGTGCTGCATTGAATAGCTGGAATATTAAGCTTTGCACACATACAGCATGCCTTTACTTTTATTTTGCCTGCTTTCTCTTAATGTTGATCCTCCTGATCTTCCTCTGCAGGTGAAGAGAGAGCTGGCCGGAGTGCTGATTTTTGAGTCCCATGCAAAGGCAGGAACAGTATGTAAGTAATCTGATAAAAATAGTCATGTGTAATAGATGCATTGTTAATGCTGATTAATGATTGAATTTGCTCAGCACACAATCAGTATTAATTCAACAAGGACAGCCTATATGAAACCAAATCTTCTCTCCCTTAGTGTTCAATCAGGGTGAGGAGGGCACATCCTGGTACATCATTTTAAAGGGCTCAGTCAATGTTGTCATCTATGGAAAAGTAGGTATTTTCCTCTTGTGAAATCATGTTAGTTCTAGAGACATCAAACTGACTATACTGCTTTGACCGGGACGTTGATTCATCACCCAGTAACTGATCAGTATGCCGTCCTGGACAGGGTGTTGTTTGCACTCTTCATGAAGGAGACGACTTTGGGAAGCTGGCGCTTGTCAACGACGCCCCCCGCGCCGCCTCCATTGTCCTGCGAGAGGACAACTGTCATTTCCTGAGAGTCGACAAGGAGGACTTTAACAGGATTTTGAGGGTTAGTGTCTGTTTAAACTCATCTCATTAACAATGAAAAAGCACCAACACCCTCTGTTGGCAAAAATGTAGTAATGCATCCATAAAAGTTATTTAATGCATCTTTTGTGATCGTATGCCAGTCCCTTGCACCCACTAGCTCAATCATCCCACTAAATATGAAATATGTTGATAATGACCTCTTTCACTGATTTGAGGTTAATTAGGTGTGGATGTAAACTAACATCTGGGAGCTCTGACACGTCATAGATTTCCTGCTTGAAATAGAAAATAGAAGCAGAGATTTTTGTTCTAGATTAACTACGTAGTGATGGTCTGCACATCTAAATGTTTTGAAATTACACATGTAGTGACTGATGGAGTGACATCACATGTTTTTTTAACAAATTTTATTAAAGTTGTTAAACGTGTATGATTGATTTACAGAATATCATATTAGGTCTGCATTTGCTTCTTTGGACCACATTAAACGTATTAAACATGCTATTAAAAATGCTTAAACAAACAATTAAAAAATTGTACTGAAATTTAGTATTACAGATAGTTTATGCATGCTTATTGCATGGCTCAAAATAGTGCAATGATGGTTCTGAATATTAAATAAATAAAATAGGGAATGAATAATAAGAATAATAATAAGAAAAAAATTAATTAAAAAGCATATATTTATAGTAAAATATCCAAATATGTATAAAAATTTTAAATATCATATAATAACTGATACTTTACATTTCTAAAGAATAACATTTTCACGAAGCTGCTTATGTACTGGCAAACACGTCACTACTGTTTAACACTGTTTAAATGTGACCTCTGGCAGGTGACCTGGGTCGATCAGGTCACATGACTTTATAAACTGAAACAACATTTTCATAGGTCAGTGGTCTCCATAGTAAATGCATTATTGTGTTTGTGTTTATTTGTATGAAGGATGTGGAAGCCAACACTGTGCGACTGAAGGAGCACGGTCAGGACGTTCTGGTGTTAGAGAAGAGCCTCAGCAGCAGTCGAACATCTGTCCAGGGATCCTCTTCCTCTCATTACAAGTAAATATGCCCACCACTAATGCATGTATAGTACAGAGCTGCACTTTCTGGCAGTTGTCTGTTAAACTTGTATCCTTAACTGTCTTCATGTTACAATATAAATTAAGTTGCTGCTTTTATTTAACAGCAAAGAAAAATTGATACTTAAAAATATTTAAAATTGTTTCAGCCATCCTTTTTCTTTGAAGTAATAAGTATGAACTTTAAAAAAATATATTTGTCCAATCACATGACTATCCCAGGTTGCTGCAGGAGTGATCCTTTCATGGTCACTTTTGAACTTGTGATTACATTTGTGAACAATAGGAAAAATGCTGGACGCTAACAGTCAGTGTGACCAGCAGATAACATGCAGGCAGCACACACACAGCAATCCTGTGAGCTGCAGCCAACGAGCATTATTTTAATAGAGGCATCTGTCACTGCAGCACAGTTGCTAGAGAGACATATTAATGGTTATGATGGCCTTGCTCCTAGGGGGAAAAGAAGACCTGGCAAGTCACAATTACTTGTTTAGGGTCGCCCTCTAATCAACTCCACTCCTCAAACGTAAGAGTGTCAAGACTGTGTTCTCCCCCATGAGTGGGGAAGACATGGCGTTGCTTGTGCAGCTCCCTCTTGCCATGCTGTTATCAAGTAATGAAAACAACCGAGGCTGGATTGTGTTGATTCTCCTTCACGTAGAAGATGCCCCCTCATTTTTTTTTCTCCCCTCGGCTTTTCTCGTGGCACTTAGCCCAGACTCCCCTTCATCTTCAGCTGGCCAAGAACACTGATTGTAAATAGGATTGTTATCAAATGAAGCAATCACAGACACACGTTGAAGGAACAGTCGAGGGCCATAGCTGTGTCATCAAGCATTAAGAGCCAGTGTTTCTTGATTAGTGAAGGGTGTGTTTTATTCTGTTTTCCTGCAGATACAACGTAATGTCTGGGACGCCGGAGAAGATTTTGGAGCACCTCCTTGAAATGATGCGATTGGATTCTCAATTCACAGAGTCAGGTACTGCTCACCATGACACATCCCATGTGTCGAATTAGTGCCATCTAACACGGCCTGTCAATACGATGATCATTTATTGTGGAGAGTTGTCACCTATGCAACATTCTCCTCCGCCCTCGCCGGCTCTGTTTCTCTCCTCTGTCCTCTGCCGACTGTTCTGCACTGACCCGTTTGTTCTTGCCTATAATTAGCCACACATCACAGGGCTGATCTAATTACTCTCGCTTGCGTGGATACATATGGTTTTCATTCGTCGGCAGAGGTGACACAGACGGGGCCGCGAGGATCAAGGCCCGATGCTACTCTTTGATGCTCTCTTTCGCCGGCTACACAGGTGTTTGACATAAGCGTCTTTCTTTTTTTGTTACAGACTCAGCCTTAGATGACTTTGTGCTCATGCACTGTGTCTTCATACCCAACACTCAGCTGTGTCCGGTGTTGATGTCCCAATATCCTTTCAGCATTATGTTCCCTAATTTTTTTTTAATGTTCTTTACCATTCCTGAACCTGAAAACATAGAGCTCACTGGTTTGCTGCAGCTACATTGTTTCAATCTTTAACTGCTGTGCAGCTACCATGCCCAGGCCTCGCAGGGATCTGAACAGGAGAAGCTGGACTACACGCTTAATAACAAGCGCAGGGTGATCCGGCTGGTGATGCACTGGGCTGCCGTAAATGGGGATCACCTGCAGGAAGAGGATGTCTCAGGGTTGTTTCTGGAGGTCAGCCTAAACATATATGAAGGTTGTTCTAACCTCTGATATAGGTACAGAATAGTCACAACAGCAGAACCGTCTGCAGCTCTGACCAAGACTTGTTCCAGTGTTTCAGATGTGTTCCTAATCAGTTTGCTTCACTTAAAAACAATTAATTGTTAATCATCTTCTTAGATTCTTTGATTCTTGATAATGATAAGATTTTGAAATGTTTTAATAAAGCGAAGGCGCCACACCACTAACCATAACTGAGAAATTGATAGAAAATCAGATTTATGTCTGAGTGCATGATGTTCAAATCCAAGAATATCCACAGCTATAATGCTGACAGCCACTCTTTTGTTTCATGGTTGATATTAATTATTTACAACTGTAAACACCTACCTTTGCAGTTATCCAAGGTGTTTGCACCTTCTGCTAAGTTTAATTGCACTCCCTCCTCACTATAAATAAACAGACACATGTCAGAAAATCAAAATCACTGAAACTGCAATTTTAAATGTGCATTTATTATAGATGTGAGCATTAGAATATATATATATATATATGCAGTTACTTTAAATTAGTAACTTAGTTACATTACTAGTTACTTCTATCAAAAGTAACTCAGTTACTTCAAGTTACT